ATCTTACGTCGCTAATTCCTGCCACACGAAGAAATCTGAACTCTGTGGAATAGAGATTTTTTGAGATCGTACCATACTTTACACTAGTTAATAAGCCAATCCCGAGTTCCAAAAAACCCTCACTTTCAAAATGAGGCAAAGTGCACAACCTTTCTTATGAAAATGAGTTTATTTGCATGAGAATGAAAAATCATCTCTATATTAAAGGCTGAGCACCTACCCTCGTTTTTATACAGAGTCCCAGAGGAACTCGGAGATGGCCTACTGTTGATAATTCTAAAACTTATCCTAAAACAGTTTACTTACCCTCACTCACGCAATATTATACAAAACCAACGGGCTAAAAATTTTTTTTTTTTTCAAATAAGTCTTAAAGTGACTGTGTCTTGGTTTTCGAGTTCATTTTTTAAATACCAATCACGCGTGTTTTTTTTTTTGTGTGTATGTTTGACGTATTTCTTTGCTTTTTAATAAAATTGTTGTTATTTGGAATAAGAGAAATCACTTGTGAAAGCCAGAGCTTGGTGTCAAACAAATTCGCTTGCCAAACATTAGATCAAACGTTATAAACACTCACAAGAAAGAACTTTGAAAAACTGTTAGGCTAACAAGTTTTCAAAAAACACAATAGTACTCCGTTTCAATCGCCTTCATCACGTTTATCCATAGAGAGGAGAAGTCGTTAAGTCACGTTGCCATGGTAGCAAAATTTCTGGATGACAACAAACCGAAAGCGTCACTTAAAAAGTGAATTCGTACTGTCACAAACTTCATCGATGTTATTAACGTTCACTAAATTTCTCAAATGTTGGCGAAATTGTCTGGGGTTCAAACCGGAAGGACGGTATCTAAGAAGAAAAAACAGATAAAAATTGTTCTCCTACTCCATAAGGAGGGCGCGTGCAATTAGGAAGTTTCCTGACGCAGCCGTGATGCACGTGCAGAGTTGTCGTTTTGTTAATGTAAGCCTATTGCTTTTCCCTTTCTCGTCGCCGTCGCCGTAGTCGTTGCTTAAGCTCCCTCTTATTGTGATCCAGAAATTTTGCTACCATGGTAGCCTGACGTCACACTTCTCTTCTGTATTGTGTTTGAATTGTTATTTATACCTTCTTTTCATGTTCTGAGCAGTTATTTTCATGTTCCACTAAATTTGGTGCCAGTTTCCATTGTTTGGATTTTGATAAATTTCGTGACACGGCTCCTTTAAGTTCTAAAGAACACATTTGGGTTTGTAGTTAGGTCTCTTGATGCATATCAAGCCCTGATCACTATTTGACACAAATGGGCCGATCCGGACGATCCGGACGATCATATGAAAACCAGGCTTAAAAGAACACACAAGGGAAAAATACGAAGATTCTTCACTATTTCATTTATTTTCTTACCTGACTTGACTATCCGTACCATCGAGTGGCCAGAAAGAAAGGAGACCTGAAAGAAATTATCGTTGCGGTTTCAACACAGGGTAGGCCAAACACCGCGCGACGCAATTATAGCGCTTTTAAGAGAAAGTCGGTAAAGGATAAGTAATATGGATTAATTAAAGAAATATGAATTTAAAAGATGTGTACAGCGGGTTTCGAGATAATTTTTAAATTAAAACAATCTCTCCTTAAAACAGGTAATAGAGAAATTTAGATTCTAAGACGAGGACGACTACTGAAACGAGATTTCCCAATACTAAGTAGACTAAGTAGTGCAAGCGCGCGAAACAACGTCATTTTGGCGGGGAAATGTGATAGCTATCGTCATTCTACTACGAGTTTTAGCAAGAATGTCGTGGTGGCGAAAACAAATTATCAGAAATGTTAGGAGTTTTATCATTTAGCAATCGGGAGAGGGCTTAACCTCCTTCAGCGGAAATAAGCGAACTAACTTTTGTGATGAAAAAAGCACAATGATGCTTTCCGGGGAGTCTATTTTTAGAGAATTTCAGGAATTTTTGCTTGTGGAATCCGGACTCTTTGGCTTTGGAATCCGGAATATATTTCAAGAAATCCTGAATCCCACCAACAATTGGAATCTGGAATTCAAGTTCCAGTGACAAAGAAGCGGGAAACCAGGCGTCTGAATCCAGAATCCAAGACTCTGCTGTGAGGTGAGAGTTATCAATACTGACCTAACTGGTTTAACCTACCATCAGCCATGTTCCGATGACCTGATGTGGATTCATCTTTGGCTGGGATATAAGTTAACTTCTTCCAGTAAGTCAGTTGGTTTGATTTAAATATACTAGATTTGGATTTAATTACTCACTTGCAAAATTCCATGCTAACCTTTGTGCAATTGTGATACACGAATGACTGAGAACCGGGGGGGAGTACTCCTGAAAATTCTTGGTGCGGGTGTACTGCCCGGTTCTCCAAATCTTGACCGTATTTAAGACTAAAACATGTTATTTTCCACAAATGTTTTCAGACTTGGGCTCTAAGAAGTTATGTCATCATTAGTTAGATAAGAACGCTAACAAAAAGATTTCTTATTAATTCCATTTCGAATACGTATATTACTTTCTTCTTATCCATCTGACTTAATTGAAACGACAAATACATTCATGTACCCCCGTAGTTACCTCGAAAACCGTACCTAATTCCAAACAAATTCCAGACCAAACTGGGGCAAAGTCTTTTCCCGTTTTTTAAGCCGGTGTATGTTAAAACAAACCTTTAATGAATTTAACAGTCATATAAATTCGAGTCAAGTCAGTTATGTAGTCCTGAGGTCTTGTCTCCTTGGATCTGTTGTTTAGTTCACAGATTTTTTCCTCCAGCTTGTAGTTGTAGCTCTGGCATCCTGCGTCGTTTTCACATCTTATGACGCAATCAGAAGGGCGGTTTATCTTGAATGTCTCATATGTGTGACCAGTGAGCATCTTTCCATAATCTGAACCTCTGGAATTACATTGACCAGCGGCTTTTCCCAATATCCAGAAAGCAGTGTGGAGTAAAATAATAAGAGTCGGTAGTTTCTGAAACATGCAAGGCTTCATAGTGCAAGGATCTACAAGGACGCTTACCTTGACTCTTACCTGAAACGAAACGCGGAATAAATGGAAAGCGATTACACGGTTCTTTGTGTAGTTTTCGTTCGTGCTTGGTTGGGTAAGAGCTACATCTTTTCGATTTCATAGACCATAATACGTTAATAAACAAGTTATGCAACCTAGATATGCCTTGCAGCATTGTAAATTGGATTATAGACTTCTTGTCAAATAGTTCGCAACGAATCAAATTAACTAGAGGTTACTTCTCTGAGTGGTGCTCTCTCCCGTCCGGGGTACCACAGGGTACCAAATTAGGGCCGTGGTTATTTATCCTAATGATAAATGATCTCGCTATTCATTCGCCCTTTTGATGGAAATTTGTTGATGATACCACGGCCTCAGAGATCATTCATAGGGGAGATGTTAATAATGTTCAGAGTATCACTTGGTCGCATAAAAATACTTATGATGAATCTAAATCCGGAAAAATGTAAAGAGCTCAGGATTTCGTTTGCTTGTAACTCCAAGAGTTTCATGCAGTTGTCGTTGAGGGAAAAGAGCTACAAGTTGTACGTAGTACTAAGCTTCTTGGGCTCACTTTAAGTGACACAGATAATGGAATAGATGATCTTGTTGAGAAAGCCACAATAGAAAGAGGTCATACTTTTTAGTACAGCTAAAGTGGGCACAATTGCCGCGAGTAGATTTAGCAAGTACGATCTACGATAGCCCACGCTCGATACATTAAAATTGTAACATGATTCCAAGACTTTCTGGTCATTTTTCTACATTTGGTTTGGTTTTCTCTTTGCTCAATTCACTTCTGGGAATTGCGAGACAATGGAGTCGTGAAAAATTTGCAATTTTGACCCTAAGGCCTCGGAGTCATGTTAGAGTTTTAATATATCGAACGTGGGCTATTAAGACTATACAATACCAGTATTCTATGGTGCCCTGCCGGCAGTATCTTATTAATGAGCTCGTGTGTAATCGCGCCTATAACATTCCACGTGTTTTTATTAATAGGGCGAAGAACTCTTTTATTCTTGCAATGGCAAGACAGATGCCGCCATTCAATTAAGAATCTCGACTGTTTTTTGAGCAAATTGTAAATATTTTGATGTATAAAAGTTTTTAATTCTGATATATTTTAAATTATTTATTAGATTTACAATATTTTAAAATATATATTTTAATCTAGTTTTTTCCAGAAATTTGTAATGGTGTTGAAAATAATTGTATAAATCAGCCTTTGGGCTGCGAAGCGATTTTTAATGAACTATCTTTCTATCTTTACTAGACTACGTGTCTCGCAATCAAAAGCAAAACAGACACAATCATTTCGCCTTCATACATTACTCATGCCAATTCGAAGAAGTAGATTATTTCATATTCTGCAGAAGTTTCAGTCTCGAACGGCAAGTATCGAATAGTGCTAGACACAACAAGTTGTTGGGAGACAATCGCCAGGCGAACGCCTCTGATTGTTAAAAGCAAAATCGAAGACAAAATTTGCATTTAAACTATGAATATTGGTACAGTGTCCAATAAGAGAAATAGCTGGCACCATTGCGGGTTAGCGTCCGTTCGTAAAAGAGATATTTTGATTTTAATTTGAAGTCTTCGTCTTTAAAAGGTGTATACACATAGTTAAAAATTAGTAAGTATATATAACAAGTTTTTGAAGTTGTAAATAGACAAAGGCGTCAAGAATGAACGCCGTTTTTTCTTTTTTTTTGCATGCAAGCTAGGTTCGGTTTGAAATTTGAAAGTGTTGATGTAAATTGATATTAATGAAAGTTTCACGCTAGTTATTTTTATACATCATGAAGATTATGTGATGAGTTTTTTTGAAAGAATTTTATAGAGCCATTCCGTATATAAGGAAAAAAGATCCCCAATTTGAATAAGGTTTTACTGTACTTGGAATGGACTTTAGGCAAAAAATAAAATAATTTTCCAAGATCAAGAATAAAAAAATACACCAAAAGTTAATAGCGTGAAAAACTGATATCAA